AGTCACAACAATGGATTTGGTTTCTGAAAGTTCACTCTCTCCTTTGATAAATTGCTTCAGTTTTCTGTGTCACGGTTTCAGTGTCTATAAAATGGGGCCACTGTCAGTCTGTGTAGCTAACAAGTTTTTCAAGATTTTAAGTAAAATCTTCAAGAACTTTAACATACCTTGATAAAAGCTAATTCAGTGCATATTGTGTATAGTCCTGTTTACTATGTGGTACATGGAGAATTCTTGCTGGAAAAGCAGTGCGAGACATGGATTGAAAGTTATACTGGGTCACTACGCAGAGTTTGATGTAGTAGATCATATATGTATCAATCAGTAACCTATATACAAATGAACTGGACTTGCCATCTTTTCATGGAGTGGCTTTGGAAATATGTAAACTTTACCCTGGAAAATCGAGAGTAGTTTTTAAACGCACTTAGAGTGCAAGATAACATGTGCTCTGCATTGGGAACAGATGCTGGCTCTGTTTCAGTTTTAAACTAGGGCATTCCAAATGTCATAGCGAGCTAGCGCTGAGGGACTTGGCCTTGGAAAGAGCCAGCTTGACATAAATGAGTGTTCATTTGACAAACAGGATCTATTACTGGTTTTCTGAGTAAGGGTTGTCTTTTAAGGTCTCATACCATGGTGGTGCTGCTTTGGATCAAAGTTTAGTTATATTTCTGTAGAGCACAAACGTACTTTAAAGCTAGACCTTCATCATAAAATGGTCTGTACTTTTTCAATGGGGAATTCTGGAGTACAGTTTTAAATATATGAAAGTTTTGCATGCTTAAAACTTCATTGTTGTCATCAGTTCCAAAGTAGCATTGACTAAGTTGCTTACAAAGGAAAGGTATGTGTACACCTCTGCCAAGATAGCCATGTAGAAAGCACCTGACTGGCAATTCCTAAACTGAGGGTTGTGACCTAACGTCATAAATGCTGTGAGCGAGGAGTACAAGGGACATTGTGGTATTTTGGTATAGCTCCCTGAAGTGGGATTAGAGCTGTGCATATGTGCCCAAACAGCAAAGCTAGGTGATTCTCCAAAGGGAAGTGGCAAGGCATCATTTGGTTTGATGTTCCACTGCATGCAACATTTTGAAGAAATAAGTTACAAGGAAGGAGCTGCAGTTTCTTTCTTGCTTGCTTTTCTGTATTTAAATTCATATTATGAATGACTCAGGGTGATGCTTCCTCCATACATAGAATGTGGCCTTGGAAATGATCCTCTAGTCTCTAGCTCAATATAAACTAAAAAAATATTGGTCATTATACTGAGGGTGGCACAGTACTTTGAGGCTTCAGTAGTGCATAATGTCTGGTGAAAATGGATGGATGGATAAAATCTGAAAATCTTATTGATCATTGTACTCAGACTGGCACTGTACCTTGAGGGTTCAGTTAGTGCATAATGTCTAGTGAAAATGGGTCAGTGGAGTGTTAGCTTGATAGCTTTCCAAATTTCAGCCCCGTAAACACTTCACAGGGAGTTCATCATTGCTATTTGAAATTTAACAGTGCTTTTTGTTTTGTTTTATTTCATTCTTGTTAATAGAATAAAATTTGAAACCTTAGTGGTTTCAAAGCAAAACTCATGTATATTCCACTGTCCAGTGTGGCAATCTTGGTGATGACAGTTTGATCACTTGATTGCTGTTTTAAACAGGCCTTATCTGAATATAAGAAATTATATAATGAAGCATCATCACAGAATTAAATTATTTCAGTTCTGGCAGCACGTAGTTAAGGGTAAAAGAAACAGTTTCCAGCTCTTACAGAGCCTGTACACAGTATTAGGGCAGGGAAAATCCAAAACTTGACAGAGGTCTTGATGCTGATTTTATAAGAAAAAAGTACTCTGTGGGGATTTGTCAAAAGCTTGGGTCTCCTCCATCGTCTTAGCTGAAGGGGGAGCCAGGAGGGCCACCTTCATTAGAAGGTGGAGGGAACAGGTAGCCATTGGATTAGATGAATGAGAATTAAGGATTGTGAAGATTCTTGCTACCTGGATGAGCAGAGTCCTTGATGTGGAGAATTTGTCTGTTAGAAAGTCTAGCAATAAGAGCTGTGATGCAACTACTACTAAACCCGATAAACAGTATTGTGTTTTTAATTTTTTAATGTGATAAAAATCAGAAAGTGACAAAACTATTCAAGTGACTTGCATATCGGAAAACTCTAGTACTTGCTTACTGTTGATCTTTTTTATCAAACCAATGAACTTGTGGAAGGCATTGGTGAAGTACAAGAAACGCAGATTCACTGACTTTACTCAGCTTTTAACAGCAAATGCAGGAACGGTGTTATTTTCAGATCAGTTTGAGTAGTTCTGGTTTTTATTTTAGGAAAAAAAAATTCAAGACTGGTGGTTCTAGTTTTGAATGATAAGATAAACACAAAACAATCCATTCAGTTGTCTTGTTGTATTTAGTACTTTATCAAAAGGAAGGTATTTGGAGGCAAAACATTTTAAGTTTTTTCCCTTGCCTCCTTTTTACTTCAGGGAATAAGGAAGCTGTTTAAGTGTTGTAGTTTTGCTTGTATTTAATTACTCCCTCAAATCAATATTTAGATAAATAGTGATCACATGATAAATAACTAATCACATATATAACAAATCACATATGCTAGTACAATCCTAACAATTTTTTAAAATATTTTAAATGGGGGATGTAAGTATATGGGGCACCATATGTCTGTATCTCAAGTTAAACATTTACTGAAACTTGTATGGCTACTGTGTTCTTGTTAAGATGAAAAAATCCAAATCTTAACAGCAAGTCAGTTCATATCTAATTTGATCGACAGACTTCTTTAAGGAAATAAAAATTGCAACTGAAGATGTGATTAGAACACATTTACTGTTTCTTACTTGCTGATTTAAGTGATTTGGATTAAAACCAGACCATACGGCAAGGAGGAAAATCTGTTGCTCTGCTTCTTTTTAAAAATGAGTTAATCTCTTTCACTGTTTCTGTTACAGAGGATTCTCAGCAAGTGCCTGTGTGTTGGTCTGCAGACATCACCTCATTCCAGATGTGTTATATGCATACAGTGCAATGCCCAAGAAAATGTGATGGGACTAGCGAACACTAGATTTTTGTGTTTGCCTGCAGAGCGTACCTTTCTTCATGAAGTTATCCTATTGTTGTCATGTATTATTACGCAAAGTGATATTTAAGTATATAGCAGGTGATATTTCCCACCTCAGTATTCACATTTACTTACAAGCGTGGTAGAAATCAAATTAACCTGAAAATAGGAATTTTCATCGAAAATACACATATCGTTTTGTGATTTGAACAAATAATAGGATTTAATGGAAAAGTACAATAAAACAACCATTAAGGACCTAAGGTCAAAGTCTGTTCCTCTAGGGGAAAAAATGGGTAAGGAACAGTGGTTAAGAAAGAATAGTCAGTAGATGTATTACCAATTCAAAATACATAAATTCTTGCTAGTAGTGCGTGGTGCACACAATTCAATTTATTATTTTATTCTCTAATTATGGCTATCCCTGGTTAATGGAAATTGTAGCACTTCTGAGATGTCACAGTTTCAATGTCTATAAAATGGGGCATGAGAGAGTATGGTTTTTATCTTTTTTTTAAGCTAGCTTATGTGTGCTTTAAGAGCAAGCACTTCATAAACACTTCACCCAGTTAGTACCTGCTGTGCTGTGGCAGTCTGTGATTGTGAGGGACCAAGTATGTATATTGGGTGGTTTTTTTCAGTGCTGGAAAGTGTGTGGGACAAACAAAAGGCATTCAGAGGAAACAAGTGGAGAGAGGAGAAATTACTTTTCCAAAGTTGTGCCATGGTGCCAGAGGCAACATGGGGCTCTGCACTGATGCTGCCTTGAGCTGAACTGAAGCAAGTTCAGAAATATAGGGTTTTCAGATGTGGAGAGGGTTCTATTGCAATTCTTCTTTCCCTGTCTCTGTAGTTCCCTCAAAGGAAGGCACAAAGGTTAATTTTGAAGTGAATTTGATAGGTTTCATATTTGACAACGTAGGCCTATGGTCTATTGCAGTTTTGTTCTGAGAGTTGTACAAATATAGGACAAAAAGATAATGGTCTTTGAGTTTAAGTGCTTTTAGGATTTAAGTAAAAAGATTAGGTTTATTGATATTTTTCTAAAAGTGCTTTCTGGGGATTGTTACGTTCATTATAGGGTGTTCTCATAAAACAAGGACACTCTGAAAGTTGGACCTATTTGTTTAAACATCTCGTTCAGGAAGAGACCATGTTGTTTTCAATATACTTTATTTTTTCGCGCTCCATGTGTATAGTACAGTAGTAAGTCAGCTTGTATATAGGGAATAAGGTCATAGAATTCCTGGGCGCTTGCCTTATTCAATATGCATTTATAGATTTCTTTCTCCTTCAATTCTTCCTTTCATGTCACCTTTCCAAAAGGTTCCTTTGTGATTTATCCCTTTAGTATATACTAGATGGATGGTACTGGACTTCAGTGTTACTTTTTAAAATGCAACGTTAATAACGAAATTGAAGTTGAGTTTTCTGTGGTTTAAGAGATGTGGAGTTGTAGGTAATGCTTGGAAGATCAGCTTCCAGTTCTTTGCTGCAATTACGAGACCATGTTTTCCTTTCTACTCGAGACCTAAACACATTCTTCTTCATCTTCCTATACAAATGATCATACTTCTTGAACTATGTTAGACTTGCTGACTTTGGGCTAAGCTAACCAAATAACCACAGGGTTATTTTCTGCTTTATAGCTATTAGTTTGAGAGGAAGCATCATCCTGTGAAATGTTCATTTTGCTGTTTCTGCACTCTTATTAAAGGCCATGGAAGAACTAGCAAATGTGATGCTTGTCTTAGCATTTGTAAAATGAGAACCGTATGAATTGTTTCAAGATTTGCATTTATGTTCTGGTTTTTTTAGTTTTTTACCTGTTAGTGCCCATTAGCAGGGTCTTAATTACTACTTCAGTGTTATAATTTTAAAGTGTATGTAATTACTATTTTTCTTCACAGGGAGAAGAGAATTTATCCAAAGATTAAAACTTGAAGCAACCTTGAATGTGCATGATGGATGTGTAAGTCGCTTGGTGCTTTTTGTTTGTTAAAAGATGTTAATTTTTGATTTTGTTGCCACGATAATAGTTCCCTAACTTAAAAATGCAAATACCATGTATTAGAGCTGAGCTGAAAAACTTCGCTGGTTGAGACCTACATCTGAATTCTTTAGGTTATTTGTTTCTTAAACATCTGACACTACCTTTTGAAGCAAAACAAAATCCCATTCCTATACCACATACCACTGCTGAATGAATTAATCTCCTATGCCAGGAAAACACATACTTATCTTTTCAGTTAGAACTCATCTTAAACCTTTAAATGGTTATATGTTGATATATTTTGTTGACTTAAAGCTGAGTTAGTGTTTTGGGTGATTTATTCTCCAAGTCTAAAAAGCAAATGATCAAGTGGTATGTGCTTATTTAAAGAGACAGTTAAAACAAAAATAAGCCTCCCCGAAAGGCAATAACGTAATTTGAAATATTGCTTAATTAAATACTTAATTTTTGAAAATGGTACAAGTATTGTAAGTCATATTCTTTTAAATAAAAGATGCGACTTAAACTAGGTACAGGGCAAAGAGATTTTCATATTACTTTTGACAAATAGAGCAGAAATTCAGGATGGTGAAAGCATTGTCTTTGTTGTACAATATATCTGAAAAGTGAAAGGATACTAAATGTGCTATGGAAAGTGAAAACGTAACTGTAAATTTTATACTTTACATTTGAACAGTTTTTGAAATAAATGTTAAAGATATTTTTTTTCTTGTGTTGCTTACACTTGTAGCTTTAAATTAAGGAGTGTCATAATTGTAACTAACATAGTAGTGGTTTTAAAGAAAAAGTGTTAATAAAATCTAGCCTTTTGGCTTGAGATCAGAGATATGATTTTGACTTGCATGTATTTTTGAGAGACTAGAAAGGCAAGGATTAGAATTGCTGTATATAAAAAGTCAGCTGCTTTTGCTGTACTGACTGCCATTGTAAGTCTAATGTTGTGGTACAGATGAAGTTGACTTAAAAAACCAAACGCATTAATTTCCCTTTTTTTTTTCCAAGAAATGTTTTAAGAATTGCAGTGTAAGGTCTCTTCCACCCCAAACCATTCTATGATTCTATGTGTAGAAAGTTATTTATCAGTTTCTGCATTCAAAATTGTAACAGTGATTTTTACTTTAGAATTTATTTTCTGGTCATTTTTAATCTCCTCAAACATACTTAAGATCAAACTTTTCAGGTTTCTTTTCTGCAGTTGGTTGGGGGGTTAAATTTCTTTTCCTTGTGTTCTTGTAAAAATAGTAATTTTCCCCCATAAAACAGGGGACAGGACAAGAGTATTTCTTTACTACTTGTTAAAAATTGAGTGACTGATCTCTGTTTTAGTTAACTATCTCTGTCTCAGGTAACAGAATTTTCAAATTTGGTGTTGGCTATTTTGCGTTGCTTGTATCTACCTGGTATATATGCAGTTGAAAATTCATTTTGAATCAATTGTGTTAGCTTTTAAAGTATGCTTTAACACATGGCTTAACTTAGTTGTTTTTCTGGGTGGGAAATGTTTTAATTGTGAACTTACAGCATTATGTGCAGGTGTTTAAAATACTGCTACAACAGAAAAAATTACTTTAGAAATTAAATTTGCTCAAAACTATCCACCTTTAGAGAATGGGATATTAGGAGTTCTTACCTTGTTTACTGTGTGGGTTTTTTGCAAGGAATAAACTTTTATGGCTAACAACCATTCAGTATAATTTCTTACTGCTTGCTGTAAAAAAAATCTGTGAAACAAGAGTAAATGAAATTACAATGCACTTACTGATTAAAATGCTTATACCATTACTAGTAAATGATCATATTAGTCTTCCACCCCACTCCCAATTGCTGAATCAGCATGCATTTCAAATGTGAGGAATGAATGCTATAGTTATCTTAAGAGTGTTTCTGGATTTGTTTTTTTGGGATGGTTGGGGTTTTTTGGAGGGTTGGAGGATGTTGGGTGTTGGTTTTTGCTTGGTGGTTGTGTTGTTGGGTTTTTTTTTTGGTTAACATTTGCATTTTTCTGTGGAATAAGTTGTGACTTGTATTTTCTATATAAAGCATGCTGTGTAATTGGACACGGTGGACAACTTAAGGCAAGAATTTTTTTTTTCTAATTGAGGATAAAAGTAAAATCCAGCTTCCTACTTACCATTTGATCTATGTTACACAAAAGGGAGATCCTGTGGGAAACATGACTGTATGTATAATCATACTGAGGTACAACATCTTTGAAGAAGGAAATAGATCTCTTGGAGCAGTAATATTACCATAGCACCTTTTTGTTTGAGATTATAAGTATTTTCATCTCAGAGTTTAGGTACCATTGTATTTGAAATAGTGCAATTTTCCAGTTCATTTGAAGGCACAATTCCTAGCAGTAATATGGGAAGTAACTGAATTAGTCTACCGAATCATTAATGTCTGCTTGTAACCTTGTCATACTTACAGGGCATGATTTGTCTCTTTCAACAAGATTCACGTTGTCCAATTCAGTGAGGTCATATGTATGCTGGAAGTTGCCATTTTCCATGTTAACTCTAAAGGGAGCTTATTAAGATGGTGAGGAAATGTATAGAGTTAGGTGAGATGCTTTCTGTAGGAAGTGGCTAAACCCAAAGGAGAAATGCTGAAAGAGAATCAGTTTGGACCAGCAGTGATGAAGTGTGAGGAAAGCAGAGGCGAATGCAACTCTAAACCATGTTGAACTTGAGTAAAAATATTGCTTATTTTCTTCCAGTTCTGGTCCTGTGAAAGCTGAGGAAGGTAGAACTGTAGGATGCATAGGTAGATGGAGCCTTTGATATAAGCAAATACTACATTTTTAGAATAAAGGAAAGAGGATTACCTGGAGGAATAATTTCTCCTTTCTATGTATAGACATTCAGTTCAGTAACAAGCAAGCATCCTGTGTGGCATACGTCTCCTTCAGGATGGCATATGTGAGCAAGTGACTTTTAGATTTAGTCCTCAAAACTATGCTTAAATTAGTATAGGAAGTTCGCATATTGTTAGAATGTGCAGGTTTTACCTCTTCCTCCATAGATGATAGGTAGTGCATTTTTCACCCCTTTCCTTGCTTGGGAGATCTTTCTGATATTCTGGATATCTACAGTAATTTGTATTTCCTTTCTTCTATTTCTTGTATTCTGTTAATCTATCCTATTCACAAAAGAGTTGATTCTGTCACATTGCATAGAAGTGAGGAGTTTGCTTTTTCAGTTTTTTAAGGATAGGCTGTACTGCCTTCTGCATTGACTTTGAGGAAAACACAGAGATAGTAAATTTATTTTTGTCTATATGACTAGTGAATCAAAAGTGCCTGCTGCTTCCTTTCAAGGCTAGTTGAATGGCAAATAAAATTAGATACAGTTGATCATGTGGAATACTTAATAGAAAAAATACATTACACACCCTTCGTCTTTTCTCATCTTGTTAGCAATTGTCTGTCATTTGTGTTTGATAGATCCTTTCTTTTGGCTCTAACACCTTTTTCCAAGAATTTCAAACCCTTGGTGTAGTAACTGTTATGTTGTGCTTTTAGTTGGGTATTAAGTGGCTGTGAAGGTAGTAGGTAACATAGCTTTTCTACACGGTTTTGAAATACTAACCAATTTGCTAGCTAGTCCTCATTTTACAGTGTATTCTAGTAGTGGATTTGTACCATGGAATGAGAGGTGAGAACTCTTTAAATCTGCTCTTATCAAGCATCTATTTTTAGTGATCCATATGCATATTTATTGCGGTTATTCACTGTTGGTCAATAGGTTGTACTGAACACTGAGAAATGTAGTGTATTGACTGATCACTTACTGGCAAGTTGGTGTTTTCTGGGGGAAAAAAAAAAAAAATCAAGCTTATTCCACTGAAGGACTTTGTTATTTCTTGAATTATTTTTTGGCAGTAATGTTGAGAAGATGATATAGTACAGAATAAAAATCCTGTTCAGTTATAGACCTCTAGTACACATCTGGTTATGTCATCTCACTTCCAGATTTTTTCTGAATCAACTTTGGCCTGGGTAGGGTGTATTGAAATTGCTCAACCCTGAGGCAATCAGTGCAATGAAATCTGAATTTACAAGGAGAATGACTTATATCTTGTGTAGGCTTGTGATGCTGCAGTTTGGATCATCATGTCTGCCCTTTGCATCTTTGGCGCTTTCTCTGCTTTCCTGTCCTTTGGATTTTGTTTTTGGACGCAGACACACCTACCCACCCCTTAACTTAATTTTTATGCTAGCTCTTCTTTCTCACATCATGTTTTTGGGTTTTTTTTTTTGGCAGCTTCATTGTTTTTTCAGTGTTTTGTTGTTCCTATTATTGTGTCCTCGTATTAGCATTTTGGTTTCTTTAGGGCAATGATAGTATTTTTCTGCCTGAAAGGAAATGTAGATGAAAATGAACATTCTTTGGTTTTGTGTTTGCCCCAGCAGCAGTACTGTGCTATGTTTGATAACATTTTTGAAGTACAGTCATTGTCAGGACAGGTTACTTCAATGATAGATGGATCTGGGGGCTAGCTGAATGCATGGTTCTTGGTGATTGACGGCCAGGGTTATGAAACCATAAGAGTGGCCATGCAAGGTCATACCAATGCTCAGTTGAGCCTGATAACTTGCCTCTGAGAGTGGCCAGTACTGATTTTTGAGAAAAGTTGAGACAGGGCAAGCAGACAGTACCTGAAACGTATTCTAGAGAACACATCACACTTTAATGGACAGATGGACGTGAAAGTTGCATCTTTGTTTCTAATAATTTTTCCTTTTCCTTTGATGAATATGTATATTCTTTCTTTTCTGGTGTTAGGACATTCCATAACAATGAATTCCAGTTTTAATAAAATGCCATGAGTGTCATATGATGGCTTCATTGAAGGCTTTCCATTTCCTGTACTCTAAAGATCTATGGAAAATGACTTCTTCCCCCCCCCCCATGTCATTCATGATGTCATAAGTTTCTTTCATATGCCTTCCACATAGTATAAATTACTTCTTGCAATAAGAAGTGTTAGATACCTGTGATCACCCTAGTAATTCTTTTTCATAACTTCTCTTTTCAAATGGGCAGTGATAGAAATAAAGAATATGGAAGTAGGATATGAACCAAAACTGCATAGTGTGGAAGATGCAGATTTACCATGCATGGGTGTATACAATGACAGAATGACATTTGCTTTTCTATGCATTTCCTAATGATTCATAATATTATTTGACTGCTGCTGAGCATTGAGCTAATTTTTTTTGAGTGGCAAAAATTCATTTAAAGCTCCTCAATGAATATGTCAAGCTGTTGCCCATGTGATCCATCTGAAACAGCTAATTCTGATTTTGCAACTTTGCCTAATTAAGGACCCCAACTAAGCTTGTGATTAAAATAGTAACTAAAATGAGTATATTTATTTTAAACAAAAATATTTTTGTCTTTTGGACTCAAAATGAGACATTTGAATAAAACAAAAAAGCATAAAAAAAGGATTTAGAACAAAGTGTGGGGTTTTTTCACTAATTATATAGTCCACTGATACATCATAGTAAGGCAGTTACTCTGCCAACAGAAGATGTTGATGGCTGAAGTTTGATACTTAAAGCTATTTTAGAGGCTACTTGAAATAATAATGGTCATGCATGCAGTCTTTGCTGCTTGTGCATGAGCTGCTGCTTGGAGGCAGGTTACTCTATGGATACCTTTTGAGCTTCCTGGACTTCGAGTGCTTTTACAGCTTTATTTCACTGACATATTAAACACAGTCTTGTGAAAATGAGAATTGATAAGGAAATATATTGTAAAGTTCTCCCAATACAATTCTGTACCTCACTGTAGGATTCTTCTTTCCCGGCATATTCACACTTCTCAAAAGGGATCTGGGATGGATTCTGCAGTGCTTTTCAGATGATCCCTGAGAAGGTGTGGTCACTGAAAAGTATAAAAGGCAATGGATGGTCAGAATTTGAATGTGGTGAAGACAGAATAATGAGAGCATTGTGATGCCTTCCAGTTCAAATTTGGAGAACTCTTGGAGTAGATTTGGTACATTAAAACACCTGAATGTGTAAAATTGTGGCTACTGAGGCCTTTGTGGGAAGGCTTAATTTACCTGATGGACTCTTCAGGAGCAGAGGGAGTAATTGAGATGCCATAAATGAAGCAGGTGATTCCCTTATCAATTTGTTTTAAAAACACTATTTTTTTTTTGTGCTAGCTGTTTAGAAATTGCATCATTTCAATTGAATTTGTTAACTGCTATTTCTGTAGTGTTGGATGAGTATTGATGTTTTAATATTCTGAAATTTGTATTAATATAAATCTAAACTAATTTTTGTTAATTCCTGCAGGTGAATACGATTTGCTGGAATGATACAGGAGAATATATTTTGTCTGGTTCAGATGACACCAATTTGGTAATTAGTAATCCCTACAGCAGAAAGGTAGGTTTGTTTCTGGATTTTCAAATAAGATTTAAGCTATTATTTTTCAAGATATTAAGATTTTTTTTTTGAAGATGTTATTTTTCAGATATTAATTATTATCTGACAAAGATAGTATCAGGCACTTTATAGTGCTTATAAATGAGAATAAAACTTCACAGTGCTTTAAAACCTTGGTATTCTAATCCCTCGTGACACAGGTATTATCCCATTTTACGGTAGGTTGTCTGGCACAAAGGAACACGGTCTCACAACAGATTAGTGTCAGAATTAGCAGTAGGATTCAGTAATTCTTGTGAAATCTTATAGTCAGGTAAATTGTTTTCTGTTTCGTTTTAGTTTTAAAATATTAGCTTTTTCTGTATGTAATATACCAAGTTTTCTTTCTGTGTAATGTTCTTGAAGTGTCAGTCTTGATTGAAATACTTTATTACCGTTTGAAATGACATTGCCTTGTGTGTACATGTGTGTGGATGGAGAAGAATTTGTACTGAAATAGGGGAAGCAGATTTGTGAAAGGGGAGGTGCTGTAAAGGTCTTTGCTTTTCCACTTCGGTGCTCACATGGGTTATGTTGCAGTCCAATGGCTTCCAGTAATGTCACCTAGAAGTGTTCCACACTTTGATCTTTAAGGAGCTGCTGATTGTTTGGTAGAACAGTTGCTCTGAACTGTCCTTCAGTGCTGGGGATCCTATGCAGCAATGTTCAAGTGAAGTCCTCTCTCTCATGCTATCTTGGAGGCTGAGAACTAAGCCCTGAACAGGTGATGAAAAATTAACTGTAGTGGGGGAACCAGAATGTGTGACTGGAATGGTAGAAAAGAGTTTGAATAGAAGGTTATGGAGGCAGCAATGTTTTGCCTTCCTGAAGAGCTGCAGTGGGAAAATAGTGTTGCCTGTGCCTATAGGTAAGGCCCTTTTCCTCTCGTCCCCAAATGAGCCATAGCTTCATCTCTTCCTTTGAACTGTTGGTGTCAGTCTGACAAAGTTCAGATCAGTGTCGTTAGACCAGAGTTTCTCTTGGACTGGGAGTTCAGCTGAAGAAGAAGAGGTATCTAAAACTGCTAGGAACTGGATGAAGGATATATTCCAAAGCGGGTGTTGTTGGAGAGACTTGTAAAGTAAAAATTTTTCATGCAAGTAAAGGGTGTTCAATATTATTTGTTGTGCAGGGTTTATTTTAATATATCTATGGGATAGTTGCTATATCATAATCTTATAATTACTACATTAAAATATTGTAATATTTTAATAGATGGGGCAATTTAACTGTTATGCTTTCATTGGATGACTTTTTTTTCCTCATTGTGTACTACTGCTGCACTTAACTAAGAAGTACAGGAGATGTTTTGTTTTCTTATTTTTAAGTCAGCTGAGTTATTTTTTTTACATAACAGCAGAACAGATAGATTTTTTAAGTTATTTTTTTTCCCCCCAATGTGTGCAAATGCAATTATAAAAGAGCAGGTACTAGCAAGAAGAGTTAATAATCAGTGTTGTTCCCAAAATATACTAGACATGCAACTTTTAAAGATAGTTACAATTGTGTTAGCTTATTTTCTCCTGCTTGAGTAACAGAATCGATACGGGAAAAGGGAGCAAATTGGTATTGGTACCAGAACTCTACTGTAATTCTGTCATCTTGGCAGATATCCTTGTCACCATATTTTCTGTTATGAGGTAGCTAGAGTAGCAAAAATAGACTTCAGCCATCAATATAGTCTAATGCATTAGTAAAATATCTAATTTAATGAGGAAGGATTTAATCTTGTTTAACAGTTATTTATATGAAATTTATGTAAGTCACTCCAGTTTGGGTTATATCCGGCCAGATGCAGGTGTCTCGTAAGGAGAGATTTGTCTAAATATGTTTCTCAAGTTTCAATGGGTTATAAGTTTACAGTGTTTGTGCATCTGAGAAGAAATGTGTTACTGTAATTTCTAATAGTAATTGCAAATCTAAATCAAAAGGATGAGCACTTTGTTATACTTTGGGATGACTGAGAACAGTTCCTCTTGTGGATCTCTTCTTCCTCATTTTACTTGTTTTAGGCATCACATTACTCGGGGCGAGGAGAGAGGAAAGTTTGGCTGGAGCTAAAGCTCTACCCACTACAAATATGGTACAAAAAGTTGGAAATTTATGTATTTACATCAGGTTAAGCATTCAGTTTTCAAAACTTTTAAATGGAGCCTGAGACTTCTCTCAGCTGATACTAGTGTGAAGACAGGATTTTTATAAGTAGTCACATTCAGAATTTTTGAATCTTCAGCCTGGTTTGCCTTCTGGGAGTGAAAGGGTTCAGCTCACATGAGAAAGTGCTGAGGAGGCTTTGGAGGGTGCTGAGTGGGGCTGAAGGTTTACAGCTTTTCTGGAATCAGGGTTGCTGCTTTCCGCTTTAGGATGGGGTTCCATTAGGTTTCGTTACCTTTACTTCAAAAGGGGGTTTGACTCCTTCAAAGGAAGTACTATTGAAAAGGCTGGATTGTAAATTATTCTGTGCTGAGTATCTTGAAAGGGAGCCCTAAATTGACCACATCCTGAAAAGCTTAGTAACCCACTGATATTTGACTTGCATTAGTTTCAACAGGCTTCTTTTTTCAGAAGTAAGCCACAGTGGTTTTTTTTTAACTGGTTTTAGTTTTTAATGTGACTTCAAAAATGCTTGTTTGTTCATTATAGTGCCTTTTTATTGTAAAGAGTTTCCATTTGGATATTGAACTTAAACATTTCAGGTTTAAAGAAGACAAGAGTAGCTGCCAGAAATTCTACTTTCTTGGAGGAAAGTACTTATTGTTAGGGATGGTGCTTGTATGCAAGCTTCTGGGATCATTACATAAATTAGTAATCCCATTTCAAAGATTTATTCTGCACTTTGAGAGGTGCAAGTTGAATTCTCGTATTTGCCTCTTCAATTGATTGTCTGTGTAATGTATTAAGCAATTGCAAAAATGATGAGGATGTCTGAATTACTACAGCTAGTCAGCTACTTTGAAGAACATCCGAAATTCTTTGTTCCTCCTATCCCTTTTCCTTAGTCATTAAGTATTTGTAGCCTGTTAGGTGTTGGTAGTAAAATGCCCTAATGGAGTAAGGTAGTGGTATTTTACTTTGTGTAGGTAACGATAGGCTTTTGGGGGTTGGTTGTGTGTGTTACATTTTCTCATCTTTTTTGCTGCCTAGGCACCAGCAACTTTTAATGCCTCTTTCTCCCCTCTTAAGGCAGTATAACAAGCAGAGTAGAAAAGGATATGCAGTACAAGTCAAGAAGGGCATGGAAAAATCTTCTACATATAATAAATGCTGTAATACTTTAATACTTTTTATTGCAGCACTGTGCAATGTTGCACAGTTAGGAAATTGAGGGGCAGGCAAGATGAGGTTAGATCTGCCTGTGAGAAAACTCTTTCCTTTACTGAAAATGCATAGCTGTATATATTTCTGAATGCTGGTTTCAGTTTACAGTGGAGGAGAGAAGGGGGGAGGGAAAGGAAAAGTTTTTTGCAAGTTTGAGGGCAATCATAAAATGTAGATCTCCATGTCTAAACTGGGATCTGCAGATGGGGAAAACTGAAGCAGATTAGAATGTTAGCTATTGACTGCATGGAAAACAAGGGCATTAGGTTGGAGTTAGTGAGAAAAAGGGGGAAAAATAAGAAGCAGGTGTAATTTGGTGAGGGGAGGACCCTGTACAGCACAGCAAAGAGAAAAAAATCTGCCTGCTTATATTCAGCAGTAGGGAGGAAGTGGTAGAGAACTGGCAAGATTGTAGAGAAACCCATAATTGTTTAGATTTTTGTATTTTTCATTTTTATTACAGAGATCAAAACCAATTTCTGGTCAGGACAAAAATATTTCTTTCACGGTAGCAGTATAAAATCTGAGGTGGGATTGACAGATGACATCTTTAACTGTTGTCTGAACTAGTGTACCTTATGGACTTGTTCTTGAGTTGCTGATACAGAGTTCCTCATTTCTTTTGAATGTCTGGGTTTCAAATGTTCAGTAAAATGCAGAGATCTGAACAAATCTAAATGAAGAGGCGGATTTATTGAAAAAAGATGAATTAATTATATCTCCTGATTTTGATAATTTTTCTTTTTTAAAAAATACTGACCCTTGTGTATCTTTCAGAATATGCAGATACACTGTTAACTTTTTTTTGTATGAATTGCTAAAAAGGTGTGAAATAGCACTTCTGAAATATTAGGTGTGAGCTATCACTGAAAGCAACTTCATTTGTATAATGTTTTCTTTGAGTAAGTTAATTGAGTGGAAATTTGGAAGTAGTTACTGTAAACAACTTGGTAAGTATCTTTTTCCTGCTAGTAGTGATGAAAATGCAGTTCGGTTTAAATGCTGCATATGGGAGAAATAAAATGGAATATTCGCTAGTGCACAGGAAAGCATATGGAGGTTTTTTTCAGTTTTGATAGACTAATAAGTATGATGATAGGAAATACAGAGTCATCACAAAGTGTTTAAAACCAACTGTGATGGTGATATAAATTAATATGCTTCTCTGCTGTACTGTAGATGAATGACATGCATTGAGACTGTCAAGTCTTAGTTTATTGCCCTGTAATCATGTTCTTAAATGTTTGTTTATTTTTGACTGGTTTTAAAACATCCTTTCTTATAAACTTCAGTTCTCCTTTTTAAAGTGAGTTTATTTTAAGAGCAGCATCAATTTTTAAAGTCTATAAAGTTGGCTGGGATTACAATGGCTTATTCTGCTTGACCCATGATATTCTAGGTCTTCTAAATCTCTCCTCAGTGATGTGCTGGCTGGCTGCACTATCACCCTAGACTAATGTTTTGCTTTGAGAAACATGATGTGATATGTAACTAGCATTTTAAAAACAAAAGGTGGCAGTTGCGTTCCAGTCCTTTCATTTTGCAGACTGCTTTGTGCAAGTGTGTAAGTGAATATCTTCAAGTGAACCACTTTGTTCTTAAAAAAATTTGGTGTAGACAGCTTCTCTGTTCTGTCCTATTAAACTGTAGGTTACTGGTAGCCTGTACATAACTTATGTTTTATAGTTTCAGAGTCTCTGTTGTTTTTCCATTCTTTATTTGTTTTGAAAATATTAACCTGATATAGTCTTCCTTTTTCTTTCTTCCTTAGGTTTTAAGAACCATTCGCTCAGGACACAGGGCCAATATTTTTAGTGCAAAATTCTTACCGTGCACCAATGACAAACAGATTGTATCTTGTTCTGGAGATGGAGTCATTTTTTACACTAATGTTGAACAAGATGCGGAGACCAACAGACAATGCCAGTATACATGCCACTATGGAACTACCTATGAGGTACCTCACAAAAGTATATGATAATTTTAAGAAAGGTAGAATACATATTTTTCTTGTATCGTTGCCCAAGATTTTAACCAGAATGCTGAAAGCTTTAGTTCAGTGGGAATTAAAGAACTTTCCTTCTAGCTTTTTGGAGTTTGTGTTGTTGTTGTGGGTTTTTTTTGTTTTTTTTTTTTTTTTTTTTTTTTGACTAGACTTTAAAAAAGAAATATGTTGTCTAAATTAAATGGAGGACTTTCCAAAAGGTAGTGTCGTTAAGACTTTCTTTGCAAATATAATAACTGAATATACCTTCATCACAAGAGCCCTCTGCAGAGCAAAACTGATTTAAATTGTGCTGTAAATTTATTTCTGAAAAAGGTTGAGGCGTTTTCAATCCTCCCTTGGAATTTTTGTACATATAAATAGGCAAGTGAAGAAGCAAAGTGTTATGTAAGTTAGGAAGATACTCAGATTTATTGACATATTTATTTTAATGACAGCAAAATCTGTAAAACTTACTGTGCTTAAAATAGGAAGAATACTAGGATTTCCTCCTTAGGTTATATATGTTCCAGGTTTTTTGAATATTTTTCATTTGTTTTATTTTGTTTTGGTTTTTTAACATTACCACAGTACACACAAGTGGGAAAAATCCTAAATTCATTGCTTTTTTAACTATTTAGCTTAGATTTCATAGCAAGCTTTTAAATCTTTGTGTGTAAAAAATATTTTAAAGTCTCTGTTAAGAAAAAGTTGAGGGCTGTGAAAAGGTGGTGTGAGAAAAGAAAATGGTGAAATACTGCCAGAATTACTTTTTGATAGTGTATTAAAAGTATCTGATGGTTGGAATTACACATGCTCCATTAAAGATTTTGTCAAAAACACTTCCGGTCTGCAGGGTAACTTTGTAGGTCAGTCAAGCAAACCTTGTGGTGTTCTTTCTGTTTCTGGGATTTGTGATTTTGGGTTTGGGTTCGGTTTGGTTTTGTCTGGGTTTAAATACAAGACTATATTTTCAGTTTTGCAAAATGTGACTCTGGATCCCTGGCTCACATCATCTGCTTTTATTTTTGAGATTTATTTTTATTAAGAAGCTACTGTTTCCTTTGAATAGCATCAGTCCTTATGGCCCCCAATCAGAAACTTAAACTGCTTCAGTTCTCACTGAAGTTTACTATATATAGTAGTCTGTATGCTAGTCTGTGGTTTCTGTAAGTTGATTGGATGCTCTCTGCATCTCAAATAAAACTTGCCTTTTTGTGAGAACATCTGGAGACCGAGGTGGTATTTCTTAAAGCTGAAAAGTCCTCGTTGAGGTGGGGGGGTGTCTGTCAGCTCACTGCATTGTGATTTCCTGGGGAAATAAGAGCCTCCCCTTGCTGGCTGGCTGCAGGCTTTAGGAGCAGGCAGTTACTGGCTCAACTGGCACCTCTGTTTCCTGGATAGCTAGCTGTGAGTATTATATAAAACATTTTTGAGCTCGAGAATAGGAGAATGGTTATGGATACTGTGCTGAGGAGACATGAATGTAGTGGTAGAAGTATCATTAGAGCAGTGGGTTTGGGTGCACAAAGTTTGGGGGCATGGGCTAGGCTGCTCAGAGTACTGCAAATGGAAGAGTTGGTGGCAGCATAAAAATCATCATGAGAAGTCACTGTGGTGGTCTTAAGTTTTCATCTGCCTGATCTTGGGTTGACCAACAGTTTGGTTGATTACGTGAAGTGGCTGACACCAGGTGGTGCTGCAAACCACTGGTCGAACTAGGAAATGTCAGTGAAAGTAGTTGCCAGTTGTGCATGTGGGTCAGGAGTAATAATGGAGGCTAGAACGTAACACTTCTAACCTTTAATATGAGATGCTGCTTGTCTCTTTGCAAGGTGTTGTTATCAGTATGCACATTGCAAGCTACTAAATCAGATGATAAATATAAATTAAACTTGTCAAAACAGTAAGAGTCTGAAAAATATTTTAGGAAAAATATGGAGTCTAGCAGATCAAGATACGAGTTTTATTGTTGTCCATATAGAATGACTATAACTGAACAGTAAGTAGTTGTATGAATATAGTAAATATCTTCAAAACATTAGTTGAAGAAAGTATGGACTTTTGCTGTATTGCACAGTCAATTTGAGATGTTTATTCAGCAAATAATGTTAACAAGAGGGCATTATTGTTATTTTAAATGACAGTAGTGTCATACTTTTTTGGTTGTTTATGCTGTTTTTAAACACAGTTAATGGAAGGAATCAAAACCCCTGTTTGACATCGACTTTTTTAGCAACTATGTCTTTGAAGTTATTTTTCTTAGCCTGTTTTGCACTGACATGTAACATATCTAAATTTGAGCTTTTTTCAAAAAGTCTTTGAAAAAGATAGGTTTATAAAACATTTTGGAATCTACTATTTATAAAGATTATAAATTCTGTTACTGTGTCTTAAAGCTGATATTTGAACATTAAATGCATGTATTATTGTGTGGCATAGCAGACCTTTTTTTGAGCCTTGGCATATGAAAGTATAATAGAGTAAATAGCAGGGCTTTTTACGCAAATGGCTGAGATACAGCTTCAGCTGCTGACATAGTGAAACTTTGTCACTGAGAGGTTTCTGGAGTGGGAAAATAATTTCAAAATATCATGACGTTACTGCCCAGTTGTATGTAACGACATCATCATATTAAATATAGAACTTTGACTCACTGGATTCTCTAAATAACACAAGCAAACATCGCCTGCCCCTGAGGTCCTAATTCTAAATTTGAATGTGGTTTGAATTTATACTGCACTTTAAACGTGGAGTTTGACAGTTCAAGACATTACAAAAGCATCCATTGAAACAGAGGAATGTGGACGTTTGTGTGGATTGTTATGAATTGTGAGATAATTGGACAATTGATTTTTATTCTTGGGGAGAACAGAATAAGCAGAAAGGGAGAGAGAAGTTCTTGAAATATGTTTCTGGAGAATTCGTTGTTTATATAAGGCCATTACAAGTTTATTTTTACTCCGCCAAACGCTTTTCTTTATTGCCCTTCATGTTAATTGCATCTCAGAGAATGTACTTTTATGGACAACTCTTAACTTCCTGTTTTCAATACAATAAAATGATCATACATTTATATATTTTTGAAATTAAATAGAAAATTATTTTTTTAGAAAAAAAAGATTTTATATATATAATGTGTACTTGTTGAATGTAAATATAGCAACAATGACTTAATTATTGGAGTCTGCACTTCTCAATTTCTCTGTTTTAGTGCTCATTAAATACTTATGCATGGTATTTAAAAACATTAAAAATTACATGTGCAAGTGAAAGTATGTACCGCACTGTTACATGTGTATTGTGAAACAGTATTGGTGTGAACAAAAATAAAGTAGAGCTACTAGTAATAAGAGCTTGCTATGTTTTACCACGTTCAGCAATGTTCTTGGAACAAAGTAAACGTTTTCAATGAAAGCTCTGCGTTGAAATACAGCAAAAATGCTGGAAGGATTTAGTGGATTGAAGAAAAGTTGCTGGCTTTTATAACTACACTAATAAAATTAATTTGAGTGAATCTGTAGTGAAAAATACTTTTCAGTATGTTGCACTATTGAGGAATAATGGTCATAGCTCAAATTTATTGTTCCATTGTTATTAAAACCTTGGCTTTGTTCTGTCTGTTAGACTTGTTTGTCAGCAGTAAGATTTGGCACAGAACACAGTTAATGTACTGAGCATTACATGAAGAAATGCTGAATCCTGCAGAGATTACCTTTGTAATCCCACTTTAGGTAGAGAGATTTATAGAGATCCATAGGTTACTTTCATTAAGAGTTGGGGAGGGGGGGTGGAGAGTAAATCGTCACATAAAAAGTGTTAAAGAATCACTCACTTGTTCTGTGTTGAATTAGCATATTACACTATTATTGATTTTTGTAACTTTATAAATTTCTATGAAGCTACTGATAGTAGAGGTGGTGTAGGAAAAGAAAAATACTGGGATTTTCCACAACATTCTCTGTTTTGTATTTAAGGGATAGCGTGTAGAAACATGACATTCCACGTGCATTCATTGACCTGTAGATTCAGCTTTAACATTATGGTTGCTTGCCTTTTTATTTTGTCTTAAGGAGGCCTTCTTGAGTGAAGCCATACGTGTGAGACTCCATCTGAGTCTTCCCTAGTTTGTACAGGGCTGAGGTCAGGAAAATGGCACAATACAGTGCTCTCTTAAAAAGTTTAAAAAAAAAAAAGTGCAGTGAGGGAGTAGGTTAGTAATAGCCTTTAATTCATAGTTGCTTCAGGGGACTACTTTGAGTGTAAAGGAATGGCCCAATGGGAATAAAAGCCATCTAGTATTTTCATGTCATTCAGACTTCTTAGAGTTTTGTTTGTTGTTATCTTCTATTACTCAATAGAGAATAAACTGAGCTTCTGTTGAATTATTGCATCAAATTGATTACTGATCTGAAAACTGGTTGCAGTAAATCTATGCTGCTTATTAAAAGATAATAGAAGTGACTGTAAACTTTGACCTATAAATATTTAATCTTATGTGACATTCCACAGTTTGTTTAAACTTCAGTAGTTCAAAATTTCTTCATTTTCAGGAAAAGTATCAGCAGTTTTCCAGTTTTCCTCTCTATTTCAATAGAAAACTTGACTTGAGTCATAATTGCTTCAGTCTTTACTGCTGTTCAAACTGTTGATGCTTTATTTTCAAATTAATGGTGTTTCTGGAAGTAGTAATACTTTTTTGGTTTGTTTTGTTTTGGTTTGTTTTTTTGAGCAGATTATGACTGTACCAAATGATCCCTATACTTTCCTCTCTTGTGGTGAAGATGGCACTGTAAGATGGTTTGATACTCGAATCAAAACAAGTTGCACAAAGGAAGATTGTAAAGATGTAAGAGTGAAATCTTTTAATAAAGATGACCTAAATGTAGAGCTGTACATCATACAAACATAGGATATGAATTCTGGTAAGGCTTTTAGAAATAATAGATTTCAGGGTCGTTGGTGGAGATGACAAGATGTTTCCCAAGAAACAAAAACGTTTGGGGAGTCTTTTATTCTTTCCCCCCTTTTGTTTTTAAATTTATTTCAATATCTTCTTTGGCGTTTTTTAGTTTATGAACTTTGGTGTGAGACTTCAGATATGGTAGAAAAGTTTCTGTGTTGAAATTCCATCTCTTGGTCTGGTCTACAGTAGTTACTAGAGAGTGCGGAGTTGAAAGCAAAAAAATGAGCCTTGAAAATCATCTGAAGCCTTGTGTTCTTGAGCATCCTTTGTGTCTCTGTAAGAAAAGATTTGGTGATGAATTATACTAGATCAAATTAGCCACTGGTATTACTCCCTAGAAGGTAAGGTATTGATGGTGTCCACTGTGTTTGGATTGCAGAAACAGTTTTAATGTTGAATTGGAGAAAAACTGACACCAAAGTGTGTATTGCTACTCTAGATTAATTTTATTCTGCTTTGTGCATATTTACCAGCTCTAGGGATTTCCTTCTTTCTTTTCCTCTTCGCCCATAGATTAAATCTATTCTGATCCTTTAAATTAATTGACTGTTTCTGTGTATTTGGTGCTCTTCTGACTCAACAGTTATCTGTGTTTCCATAGGAAAATCTGAGATGCAAGCTAGTTTATAAATCTGTAGTCGTTACAGTTATCTGTTCTTAAATCTGTAGTTGTTATGCTTATCTATTCTTAAATGTTTGTTCCTTTGGTTTGTTTGTTTTCTTCTTTTGTTGATCTCATGCTATATTTCTTTCTGTGATAGTTTTCTTTCTCTGCAGTAGCTTTTCTGTTTGACATATTTTCAATCTATCTTCACAGGGTCAGACCTAGTTTTCTCATGGCCTCCTTGACTAATGGGTCTGTGTCCCAAAGTGAAAAATAGTTATACTTCAAATGTTCAGAGCTATTATTTGAATACTGTATTTTTCTTTGTTCCAGGATATTTTAATAAACTGTCGGCGTGCTGCCACTTCTGTTGCTATCTGTCCACCAATCCCATATTATCTTGCTGTGGGTTGTTCTGATAGCTCAGTAAGAATATATGATCGGCGAATGCTTGGTACAAGAGCAACAGGTAGGAACCATACCTTTACAGTAAGTAAGCTTTTCTAACCATTTGCAGTTCCAATTTCAGATTCTTTTGTTTTTCAAAATGGATGGTGAATGACTGAAGTAATACTGAATGAAGTGTAGCTTTCTTCTACCAGAACTATGCTTTGTAATAATAGTCATTTCATTCTAATATTTGCTAACACAGAAATCTTCAAGTAAGCAAACTTATCCTAAAATGTATGAAGAGATTATGTTGTATACTGAATGCAGAAAAAGGCATTTTGTAATGTCTCTTCTTTTGTTTTGAAACATGTGATTCCAAGATTCCAAAAAGCTAGTGATTGCAGCCTGCAGTGGTTCATCTGAATTTTAGTAAGATTAATTCAGGTATGCTGGTCTATAGAGTAAAGGAGAAAAAAGACAAAATTTTGAAGATTTTGTAATTTTTCCGGATATATTGGTATAGTGTTCTGTTGTTTATTTTGAGGGGATTGTGTGTTTGGGGCTTTTGTGGTTTTGGGGTTTTTTTCAGAGGTGAAGTATTCTATGGCTAGTGAGCAAACTATTGATTTTCATTTAAAACTTTGTTCAGTCCTTATGTAGTGTGAGATGATAAACTCTGAACTTGTTTGTCGTCCAGGGCAGACTGTTGCACATACTAAGCCACAACAGATATGCCACGAGGGAAACGGTTACATGGCAAATTACAAGTGTTTGGAACAGTCTGTTTTCTTAGTGTTAGATCTTCTTGTAGGTAATTTTTATCTGCTCAGAAACTTGTAATTCTAGAATTTAGGATTGTTTTAGTATGTGGAGTGGAGGCAAATTCTCAGGGACGCTTGGTAAGTCCAATGTATTGTATAGTTCTGCAGTTTCAAAGTGGCAGTATTACTATGTCTCAAAATAAAACTAGTATTTTTTTAAAACATTTTGGATAAAAAAGAGGATATGTATGTCCTAAATTTTCAGTTTAATATAATGAACTCCTTTCTAATGTGCATGTAGATATAGATTTGCGTTATTATTGTGTAGGTGTTCTTAGGTTCTAAAATTTCCATTTGTACTACATTTGACAGCTAGTATGCACACACTATCATGTGATGGGTATGAGATATATGAATATATTTGTGTGTGTGTTTTAACCTTTTTTTATAATGTATATAGTGTCCATAAACAGAAATACAAAATACTAGTAAGATCTGATATGTCACTATTCAGATCCAATTTATTACAGAAGCTACAGAATACGTAGTGGCTTTTCTCTGACCATCTTTTGCTGGATATTAAATAACCAGTATATTGAAGCTGTTGAAAATTTGCAATAGTAAATGTGTTCTTTCTTTCTTTCTCTCTTCCCTCCCCCTCCTTTTTTTTTTTTTTTTCCTGTTTTTTAAATATAGGGAATTATGCTGGTAGGGGCACTGTTGGAATGGTGGCACGTTTTGTTCCTCCTCATCTCAATAACAAATCCTGCAGAGTAACGTCGCTATGTTATAGTGAAGATGGTCAAGAGATCCTTGTTAGCTACTCTTCGGATTACATATACTTGTTTGATCCCAAGGATGACACAGCACGAGAACTGAAAGTTCCTTCTGCTGAAGAGAGACGGGAAGAGGCAAGTGATTAAGATGACCAGTTTTCATGTTTTATATTTTTTTTTCTTGTGGCACACTTACCAGTTGTATTTCCCTGTATTTGCTGTTCGTAGACTGAGACATGACAAGTAGATTGTGTTACAAAATTTGCATATTTACAATATATGTATTTACTTAATATATTTACGATATTTTATTACTCGGTTGTGTTTTTTCTTTTCTGGTTTCCATCTCCTCAGTCTAAACGTTTTGCACCCCCTCATCTCTGTCATTAAAAGATAACTTTAAAGGAATATACTTTTGATGGCATGGAAAATAACTGAGAATACACCTCAATTACAAGAGTGACCTGATACCCTTGCTGGTATTATAACCTGAGTTTCACGCAGATGTCTTCTCATCTTTAGGAGACGGAAACCAGACAAGAGGCTGCTATTACTAGTACAAATATTCCTGCTCAGAAGGGGTGTAGACTCAGAGAACTGAGAAGTAATGTCCAGCTGAGTTTCACTGTTACCTCACAGAGGCAAGAGAAAGCAGAGACGAACCCAGACAAATTGTAATGCACAAATGGTTCTGCGCTTCTCTCTATCTTCTATGTAATGTTAATCTGATGTGAAGTAATTTGGTGGAGAATTGACTGCCCATTTACTATATAGAGAGAAGATGGTGACCACCTGTTAATAACAGATCCTCTGTATTATTTTCTTTTGTAGGCACAGAATATATCCTGTAATCTTTTCTTGCTGGATTATTTTCCTTAAATGCTGTTTTTTTCAGCCTGGCTTTAAGCTGTACAGAGTAGAAGGAATGTGAAGCTTTCTTCCCGAATCTGTTGGCACCTGAAATTTAACACTTCAATACGGTTTTTCACCACAGGATTTTTGCATTTAATTTAAATTTGTCAGCAGAACTATGCACTTTTTTTTAAAAGCCAGAGATACCCATCCAACACACTTAATTTCAAAATCTGAACTGCCTTTCTGAATGTTAAAAGCACTAGCTGTTTCTCTTCAAGTCGCTGAAAGTAACACTACCTATATAGTACTTCCTGCTACAAAAAAAACCTATGCTACAAAAATTTTTAAAAAGCACAGGTGAAAAAATAAAATAAAGTTTTATAAAAATAAACTTTGTTTTGCTAATGTTCGATTATTTTTTCCTTTTGCTTAATTGCAAATCCACACTAGTGTGGCAAATCCACACTTCATTAAACTGAAGTTGCCATATAGTTTTTAGCAGAAAGAGGTGAATATTTTTGCAGAATTCAGTCTGAAATCTGGAAAACCTTAATTATTATTATTCAGTATGGAAAGCCTCAGTTAACATAGTAAAGTTAATATTGCATAAAACAAGGGTTGAGTTAGTTCTGAGAGTCATTGATTTAGACTGTTGAACTTCTGTGTAGCTAATACACTTGCGTTATATTGAGATAGTGTTGTGCTTATTCACAGTTGATCTGAATGTATGGCTGACATTCCATTTTTTTGTGACATACAAATTTATGTAACTTAAGAAAATGGAGATACTGCATTTATGTTTAGACTCAGAATTCTCTACTATCCAACATAAATAGCTTTTCTCATGCCTTTCTCTCTTTTTTTTTTTTTTTTTTTTTTCCCTAGTTACGACAACCTCCTGTTAAACGTTTGCGGCTAAGAGGGGATTGGTCAGATACTGGACCAAGAGCGAGGCCTGAGAGTGAACGAGAAAGAGATGGTAAAGTGTTTGCAGTTGGTATGGGGTTGTCTTTGCTTGTGTGTTTTGTTTTGGTTGGGTTTTTTTTGTGTTTTCTTGTTTGGTTTGGGTTTTATTTTCCATTTTTTTCTTAAGTATTCCTGAAATATGTAAGTGCTTCAGATTAAAAAGTCCATGATTTAAGAATCAGACAGATATTAAGATGGTTTTCTTAGAATTTGACACAGAACTGCTATTCTACAGTGATTTTAAAAAGTGTCTAAATTGGTAAGATTTTTACCAGGAAAAATTATGTTGCTTCAGTTAGGCTGATGTAAATCAAGGGGTCAGTGTCATCAGTCATGTAGTAACACAGAAGTGTTTCCCTTTTTTGTAGTCAAGCCTCATATGCAATCAAAATTACGAATGAAATGCTCTGTAATGGTTACATGAGGGGACTGGAATTAAAAGCAATAGTCTTCTAATGTTGTATCTGTCACTTTTTTTTTTTATAAAATACATGTAGTGATGAAATTTTTATGCTTGTATTTTCATGTTTGTAATATATTATTCAATTACTCGAGGTTTCAGTAGATAGAGCATTTCCAAAGCTATGCTTTAGTGTCAGAAAACAGGATACCAAAGCAGGGCAGAGAATGCTTTGTCGCTCATCTTACTCTTTTAAATCTGACAGGTTGTGGGGGTACAAGTATTTGTTCTAGTTCCCTTAAATCTGTCTCCCTTTTCTGCCTACCATTTCCCTCTCCACATTTGCTGTGTTGGTTTTCTCATCTTCCTGATTTCCTCAAAGTAGAATAGAAGTACCTAGCTGTATCAGACTAATGGTCCAGGTTAGAGTAGGATTCTGTATCTGACACAGGCAATAGGAGATGCTATTTAGGGGGAGAACTCAAGACTGTCCTCTTACCTTAGTCTGCTGCCTTTGCTCCCCCAGTGTTTGGAATTACTTGATTAGAAACGTTAGAGGTTATGTTCCCATCTGTTCCTTTAGAATCTGCATATGGTTCTATTGCCCGTGAGTTTCTGTAATCCTTTTTTGAACCTGTTGATATTTCCTATAGCAAAAAATTCCAGAAGTTCAGTGCCCACTGTGTAAAGGAATACTTTCTTTCCTTTCTTTTAAACTTTCTTATTTTCATCATGTGCCTTCTTAATCAAATCTTGTGATATTAGAATATTAACAGTTTTACATTCTGCTTACTTAGTGCCTTCATTCCACAGACCTCATTTGCATACTCCCTCATATTGGGGACGCTTTTGCTATCATTTTTGCTGCATTTTTTCTCATCAAAATTAGTTGAGGCTTTGCCTTTGCACAGAGTTACTTTTTATCTAAATTCTTTTTAAGCTATGTATCTTCAGTGTCCTTCTAGCTCTCATTTCCTCATAATATCAAGTAAATCTGCTGGGGAGGAAATAAAGGGTGAGAAAAGGACTCTTCCAGTAGATTCCTCCAGTCTTAGACATTGGCTAGATTTTTATTTTCTCAAAATAAAGTGACAGCGTCTTTGTTATTTGATACAACTGTATAGTGACTAAGAGAGAATAGCTATATTGCATTAGTTAGCCATGTGGTGAACTGTGACTTATTTTTCTGTTAGCTGTTCGTTGTCCTCTCTTCCCATCATTAACTATCTTTTGTCTGTTTTCTTCAGCTGTTGCATTCCATATTTTGTGTTTTAATCTTCTGAGGTCAGAGCTTTCCTGCCTGGGGTACAGGATGGGAATGAGGGATCCCAGGGGACGGTCAGAGACCTGCAGTGTGGAAATGAGGATAGACAAGGGCATTGGGGTCAGGCATTGATTTTTTTGAGGGGTGGGTTGGTGTGTTCCCCTTCCGTTTTCCATTCCCAACAATGTCTCTTAAATTCAAGCAAATAATCTAAAAGCAAGGTCTAGTGATGATACGTTCAAGCTATATCCTAGCAGTGAAGACTATATGCAGTCCTGAAAGACAATTAGTTGCTCCAGATATTTGATTAGTCATTCAGCTTTTATAACATCTGGACGGGTAGCAGCACTGGTCTCTGAGAGGCATATTCTCACTGTACATGTTCTTCCTGAGTACGGTCCAGAACCTTTCAGTGTTAGCTTTTGTATGCAGGGTATTAAAAATTTTTTCACATATGTATTTTGACAAGTAATTGTGCTTCACAGGGATTCTATTTCTTAAGGTCTTCAATTACAAAACTTCTGAAAAAATTGCTTAAGCATCACATACTTCCAAAGTGGTGAAGGGGCCAACAGGAGCTCGTACCTCAGTATGAGTGGAATGGTCCAGTGCCGTGGAACGGTCTTGTTTTGGAAGATGCTAACGTGTTTAAAAAAACCAAACCTGAACAAAACAAAAAACCCCAAACACACCACACTTCACAGAATAGAAAAACCACTGAAAGATTCAAATATTCTATTGCAGCCCTTTACAAATAGAATTTTTTCTATCTTCTCTCATGAAACAAATTTTGTTTCATATGTGCTAAAATGAGAAAGGAAATGAGAAGAAAATATTTTGAGTTATGTTGAAAGAAAGTATGTCAAAGATTTTGCTGCTTGAGAGTCTTTGCGATCCTGACACTTGATTCAAAAGGTGAAAATGAAAAATCCTGAAAGAACTCTGCTGTTGTATTCCGTTGTGCTTATGAGGAAAATCTAAATCACAAAGAAGCCTTTTGGAAAAGTTAAAAACATCAGGTGCTGATTTTATGCTAGTCTTTTTGCTCTTTCATTGTTTAATGATAAAATTGGTTATTTTATAATTAGCTGGAAAACATAAAAATCTAGGCTTTCTTAATTTATTTAACCAGCATTAAGAACTGAATGGCATAAATCTCACAATGTCATGTGTACAAAAGCTCGAGGTAATTCTAAAACAGAAAAGGAAGGAGGACTGCTGGCTTTTATGTGGTGCCATGTTCCACTGGCAGTTCTGGCTGGACTGTTTTGCTGAAAAATGGAGATGGTTCAGGGGATTACTGCTTACGTAGCTTACAGTGTAGGGTTTTTTTTTTAACAGAAGAATAAATGGGGGGGAAAATGAACACTTTTGTAAACTTGTAGATAAAACTTTAGCATTACTTGTTTTACAGGGGAGCAAAGTCCTAATGTGTCTCTAATGCAGAGGATGTCAGACATGCTGTCAAGATGGTTTGAAGAAGCTAGTGAAGTTGCACAAAGCAATCGAGGACGAGGAAGATCACGGTCCAGAGGTGACTTACTTCTTTTCAAGAATAATAATTACATCAGAAAAATAGGTTTATACTGGTTATGCAGGCCTTGAATATCAGGCTTTCTGAGATGTAAACTAAAAAATTTTTAGCACTCTCTGAGGAACCAAGTACACTTTTTTGCCATATAAATGGTAATGCAGAGGGATCTTTAGAGACAGAGGAAGTTTACCTTTGGGTTCTGGTTTTTCATGCTTTCTTTTTTTTTTTTTTTCCTAATCAAAGGTGGGACTAATCGGACAGATGCTCCTGCTACTAATAATGTGCCACCTAGTACAGAATCAGAAACTGCAATGGAAATAGATGGTTCTGAACAACTTCCATCATCATCTTCTTCTACAATGTCAGCCCAAGCTCCTTCAACATCATCTTCAACAGAAAGTCCCCCTTCGACTTCGTTATTGTCCTCTCCTGATAATGAACGAAGGCCTTCTTTAGGGGCCACAGCTCAACCTGTGCTCCATCAGTCTGGTGAGAAGAAATCCATCTTGTCATTGTTTATGATAAATGCTTTCAATAAGAAACAATTTTATTTTAGGATATTTTGGCTAATTGATGTCAAACTGTTTTCTTTCTTGCACATCCTTAATGAGACAAGCTATTTTATGGTTACTAGGTGACTGCAGCTGTGGTTTAAAGAAAGAGTTAAAACCATTGACTGTATACGTTTGTCTGAAGACAGAATCTCAAAGGGGATAATCAGTATTGTCTTTTGAAGTAGAAATAAAAAGTTGTTGGAAAAAAAGTAATATTTCTTTCTAAACTTACTGTTCTCTTCATGAAGTATAAGTAACATCATGCTGCCTTCAGCTGTGATTTGGCTGTAGCAGCATCAGCGCAGTGAATAGCAAAACCGATGCCTGTTATAATTAGAGGAAGTAGAGAATGTCTCCTTCAGTAGGAATCTACATCTTCAACATTTTGGTCATCAATGTTATTTTTTTTTGCTTCTCAAACTTACTCAGATAGGGCTTACCTTGCATGATATTCTATTATTGGTTAATAAATTATACTACATATTGATTGTATATAGTGAAGAAACTCATCTGTATTTAATACAGACTTACATTCTTATTGTGGGAAAAAGAAGAAAATATATTCCACTGTCAATGTCAGTAACTTATTTGTGTAGTAAAAGAGCACCTTTGGCTTAGCCCTTTTCCATCTCTAGGCAGGAAAAGATGCCACAGCCTTTAGAGTTAAATATTTGCATGGGAGTTTATTCTTACTTTTAAAAAGTGAGTTTCTAGGCCTCACAGTTTTGGTGAAAAGGCTGATGTGATCTGAAATACCTACAGGTTCAGTCTTGATTATTTACAAGTGCCATGTTCTTTGTATAAATTAACCTTTTTTTCTTCTACCAATTCTGCTGTAAAAAAATCAAGGTCTTTTTGTTGTTGGAAAAGATGACTGATAGAATCTTCAGTTCCTAAATTGGATGTTCTGGACTAAAGGAGAGATGGGGATTTCTCAGGGAGAAGTGTGCCGTTCAGTGTATTGCAGCTGCTGCAGACAAAATCTTTGGGACAAGTGAGAAATTATTAGGTATCTCTATCTGAAAGACAGCGAAGCTAAAGACAGAAGTTGAAATTCGTTAAATGTATCATTCTCGCCCTTTCAAACCCTACAGCTAGTCTGGTACTTATTTGGAGGAAATAAACAATGAGCAGAAGCCTGACAATATACACAGTCCAGATACTATTTCTAGAATAAGTGAATGCTAGAAAACTTATTTAGTGGCTTTTAGTCAACAATGTTTTTTATTAGTATTGGTGTTTTCTCAAGTTTTGCACAAAAAACACACAAAAAATAAAGGGGTCTATTCTAATTCAGTGTAACCCAATTTAGCACCCACTATCTTTGGTACAGAGGAATTGCCACCAAAGAACACATACCATTACCAAGGGTTCATTTTTATTTTTTTTTTTTTAAGAGTATGGTATATTCTGGAGCTTACTGGCTGGGAGAGTATGTCCCATATTAAAAATAATTGCTTCAAGCTATGTCGTTGAAACTTTGTGATTTACGTGATAATGCACTAGAGAGCATTTTTGGAATTATAATCATTTCCTATCCTGCATTTTAAAGAATGCATGCTGACTAGGAAAAGTGTTTTCTGCTTTTTCTCTGAATCTGTCTGAATTTCTAAGTAAAAGTTTATTCTGCTAGCATGAAGCTGAAGTTGTTATTTCTTAATCCAGCTCTTCTCTAAGAGCATTTCCTCTTTCCCAGTGTTACTTCAGACTTAAGACTCTCCATATATTCAGTTTTGAATGGGGTGGTGGTGGTTGTTTTGTTGACACACAGTGGATACTTTCTACTGTATAATGTTTGATAGGTTCTTTGACTACACCTAAACAGGGTGTCAATCAATTGTCATCTTTAAATTGTCTACAAGACTCCTGCAGGAGTAAACTTAGTTGTACTATAGGTTTGCACACCTTGTAAGCATCTTGTCTAGTTTGCACTGCCTTTAAAACATGTAAGTTACTGTAAAACAAGTCTTTGGGTAACATAGGCAAGTTCAGGGAGAGGGGAAGCTGCCGGGCAGAGGGCACAGGTTATGACAGAGCAGTAGCAGTGGGTTTATGAATGAGTAGGCTTGAATGTTAATTTCCATTTTGCAAAGCTTGTATACTTAGGTAACCCATGAAGGTGCTCAGTTCTGAGATTTTATTTGCTCACAGTCTCTAGTCTACAATGTGAAAACACTACATTCTGCATCAAGAACAGGAGTCCTGAATTTGTTTAGCTGCATTTAGAACTGAATAAAACCTATTGCTTTTGGGCGTGACAGGACAGGGAAAGCGGTAGTAGGAGTAGTAGTTCAAATACAGTGGGGCTGAGTAGGAAGAGCAAATAGAGTTGTGTTGTGAAAGGTGGATGACTGTGGAAGCATTTTGGAAAATGGAAGGAGGAAAGTGAGAGGCTTTCAGCTGTCATTTTGCATAAAGTGGTGGTAGATACAAGTTTGAATATTGTAGCAAAGACTTAACAAATGAAGAATATGTTTTCAGATAGTGACTTATTTAGAATTGGAGCATGAATCCATACTATAGGATGGAACAGGCTTATAAACAGCTTTCCATAAATCATTTCTACAGATTTCTGTGCTCAATGCAGGCGCTGGTGGTAATCCTGTCTTTGAAACAGCAATACCTTTGCACGTGTATTATAATTCAAATAGATTGTTGGTGTGGTGTTCCAGAAGATATGCCATGTGGCGAGCTTTTGAGCTTCTACATCTGAATTACTTACTTCATCTCTTAATGTTTTAAAAAAGTACATGTTCAAAATAGTCAGTACAAAAATAGTTCAGTGGTGTAGCTTGTTGGGATAAATTTCTTTATCAGAACGTATATTCTAGAAGAACAGAGTTGGAACTTTTAAGTAAGTTGTAAATAATCAACAAAATCAGTGCAAAATCTCAGTAGCCTGTAGCGTGTTCTTGTCAGTAAGCTTGAATATTTTTTTTTATAATGAGACAGAACAATTGCTGGAGACTTCCATGCTTGTCACTGAGGAAAAAGAATAACAAATTTATTTTCCTGCCCTGCTTGGCCCATTCAGTCATTAATACATTTTTTTACATTAGTTTTAAGATGTAGTAGTTTTAAACAATGTATAAACATCAGATACAACAAACTGTAAAATATAATAATGCTTTTTTTCCCTGTAACTCATATTCTAGATACACATTGCTCAAGAAGGACAGGGAACTGCTTGAAAGAGTCCAGCGCAGAGCCACAAAGATGATTAAGGGGGTGGAACATCTCCCTTCTGATGAAAGGCTGAGGGAGCTGGGTCTTTTTAGCCTGGAGAAGAGGAGACTGAGGGGTGACCTCATTAATGTTTATAAGTACGTAAAGGGCGAGTGTCAGGAGGATGGACCCGGGCTCTTCTCAGTGATGGCCAACGACAGGACAAGGGGCAACGGGTGCAAGCTGGAGCACAGGAGGTTCCACATGAACATAAGGAAAAACTTTTTCACTGTGAGGGTGGCAGAGCACTGGAACAGGGTGCCCAGAGAGGCTGTGGAGTCTCCCTCTCTGGAGATATTCAAAACCTGCCTGGACATGTTTCTTTGTGATCTACTCTAGGTGGTCCTGCTCTGGCAGGGAGATTGGACTAAATGATCTTTTGAAGTCCCTTCCAACCCCTGACATTCTGTGATTCTGTGATTGATACCATTGAGGGGGGTAGAAGGGCAACTGACTAATTAGGACAAAGCTTAATATGCATTCTGATATAAGGTTACTTTTCTTTTAAACATTGAATGGGAAAGGGATAATAGCTGGGTTTTTTCCTTTCCATTTCTGTTTCCTTACTGTTTGCTGGCAAAATAAACATTTGCTTAGAGATTCTGAAATATGTTGAAAGGTGTTGTCATTGAACACATTCAGGATAATAGCACTCTCTCTACATTTTGATTTGTAGTTCATGTTACATCTTAATTTGTAACCATCTCTGGACTGAATGGAACTGAATCAGCAGCAAGTACTGAAAACTGCAATTTTTAGACATCACTGGAATTTCCTTAAGAGCATTTTCTAGACTGGAGTTCTAATCTCCATAAATGTTCATGGCACATGAAAGCTATTCATAGCAAATCTCTTTGATGCCATGTTCCTTTTAGGAATGTCTTTTTCTTTCTTGTTATACCTCATCAACCATAAGGTGACACAATGTATTTCCCAGAAGTGGTATTAGACTGAAGACATTAGATCTCATGACTATTTGCTATTAACCGGTGCCTGCCACCAATTTTTGAATGATTGGATTCTGTCTTTAGATTTGTTTCTTTTTATGAAAGAAAATTTAAAATTTGCTTGCATCACTGAGTGAATAAGGGTTGCAGAATATTTGTAAAGCTTTTGCTTGGATGAAAGGTTGTATGTCAATGTAATGCTCTCTAGTATTTTAACATTTCATAGTACTGATTTTTCTTTTTCTTTGCAGATTTCCTCATATCTACTCCATAAATATCTACATAAATAGATTAAAAAAATCCATATGTATCTACATAAATACTCCAGAGTGCCGTTGATATAAATCCTTTCAGGATAGGTCTAGGCTAGCAGTTTATAGCAGAACTACCTAAAGCATTTGATGTGAATACTTGAGTCTGAATTAGCTGTTCTACTCTACTATATTATAGATGAGAGTAGTTCAGCAGTGGTTCACGTCAACGTTGTGCTTCAGCTATTTCTAATAAAGAAACAGTCTGTATTATGTAAAGAGAAGCACTTGCTATACGTAAGTGGAGGAAAACTGCAAAGAGCATGGAAAGAATAAAAAAATTACTTGGACACCTAGTTTTATAGCAGTTTGCAAAAAATACTGTTAATCAGTCCATGAACTGGTACATGCCAAAATGGTTTAACTGCCAAATGAATAAAGACAAAACAATGAAAACAGTGAAGTCTTTACAGGTGAAACTGAAAGAACGGTCTGTTAAGAGAATGATACTA